AGCTTACACACACCATCTTTGCTCTTTTGATTGCTAAGAGTTTTGGGGGGTGTGTCGGAGCTTGGTGGTGGTGAAGGGTGGGATGAGAGATGGGAAATTAATATTCGGGTATTATAGAATATTTTGTTTTTAGTTTCCAGAAGAAACTTTTGCCTTCTGGGAGGTTCTTTTTAAAATCAGGTCTTGGACAGGAGGGAAAGGCTAAGGGAAGGCCTAGGGTTGGGGGTGGGGAGAGACATGTTTGTCTTTGCTTAAATGTGGGTCTCAGGGGTGGGCCTGCCTGCCTGGGCCTGGTGAATGGGCTAATGAGTGTTGTTCTGGGGGTGGGGCGTGGGTCTTGGGGGACCATGGGGAATGGAAGCAGCACTTGGGGTTGGATACTTTGGCCCTTAGGTTTAGATGGGCCTCTTCCTGGGCTCTGCTGCTCCCCTTTCTCCCTGGCCTCCATTTCCTGCCTTTGGCCTCCATCTTGTGGCAGGCCCAGGGCCCAGGGTGACTTCCGGTCCCCCTCTCTCAACCGTGTTCCAGCCCCACCACCTCTGGACTGCCAACTCCCAACCCTGCTGTCCTTGGCCCTGTCTCTTTTAGCATTTCTCTTGGGTTCTGACCTAGGGAGGGAGGAATGGACACAGGAAGCCTTAGGTCCTTGCCTTTGTCGGGAGGCAGTTTGTTGGTCTTCCCTAGTCATTCCCTGTTTCCCCAGGCCTTGTTCTAAGGATCCCCAGAGCTGAATTCCTATAGAGGTGAAGAATGTTCCAAGCTTATCACACTGAACTCATCGCCCAGGACCCTACCCTGGTTTTTTCTAACCTTTTTGGGGGCCATGTTTGCCATTCACACCTTCTCCATCGCCTCATGGTTGGTGGGGGGTCTTCATGGCACCGTCTTGTGCTGTCTTCCTCTCAACCCATCCAAGTCCTGCTCCCGCCCCAGCAGCACACTGTGGTTTGTACGGCACTGTGGCCACGTCCAAACCACACTGTGGTGTTAGAGCGAGGGTGGGGGAGGCACCGCTGAGGCCTGGCCCAGGGAGGCCACCCTGGAGAAGCAGCACAAAAAAACCCATCTGGGGTATTGTGAGGGAGTTCTGACAAGGTGGGGCGGGAGAGTATGAAACACTGGAAAGAGCCCCTCTAGAAACCCCAGTGGTCTTTGTCAGAAACCCCGGGAATAAGTTCTGCCCCACAGAGCAAAGTAGAGTCTTTGTTGCCCACACCCAGCTCTCCTGGCTCTAGCAGCACAGAAATATTGGCACTGGGAAGCGAGTCTGCCAATATTGGCTGTGTTGCTCCAGGCAGGGTGGTGAGAGCTACTGAGAGGGGCTGGCCCCCGAGGGCTAAGGAAAGGAGAGGGAACAGCAGCTGGCATGACCATGCTAAGAGAATTTCTTTATTATAATTTTCTGTATAAAAATGTCCATCAGACGGAGGTCAGAGGGTGCGGGCACATGTTTATCGGGAACAAGATGGACAGCTCCAGTGGCTTTCTGACCCTCTCTCATGCAGTCCTTGCTTAGAGTCCCAGGTGATCCACAGGTCCACGGTGAACAGTGAGGGTCAGAGGTGGAAGGCTCAGCAGGAGAGTAGAGGAGCATCAGCAGAGGTCGAGAGAAGGCCAGAGTCCAGGGTCAGGCTGTCTGGAACAGGAAGTAAAATGGACCGAGATGGACCAAGCAAGGAATATGTTTCCAAGAAAACCCTCACCTCCTCAAACATCGTATTACTAGCTGACCCAACCCCCTGCACTGAGTATCTTCTGTCTGAAGCCCTTGCACGACAAAGGGGCTTCTGCTGGGACCCTCCCCTACCATCCAGGTGAGTATTTCTTCCCCACCCCAGCCAGTGTGGGAGGAGGAGGACTCCTACCCTGGTCAAAGTTGAGTTTCTTGGCTGGAGGAGTTTCTCCTAAGCCTTCAACATCCACCAGGTCACTGTTGGCGTCGGAGTCGTTCAGAGCACTGAGTGTCACATCTGGGAGGGGGCATAGGCTAGGTTCTAGGTTTCCTGACTACTCTCCCTCGTCCCAGTTTCCCAAAGCTTCATGCTCTACACAGCCCTCTGCCCGTTTTGGAATGACACCTGAGCACACAAATCATCTGTCCTTTGACCCAGGCCCAATTCTCTCATTCAATCTCAGATAGGACCTTTAACCCCTACCCTAGGCAGCAACTCCACAGCCCTCACCAGCCTTCTGTTTCTTTAGGGGAGGACCCCCAGCTTCAGGGACACTGGAGCTGCTGGGTGGAGGGGCAGTTGGAGGGGAGAGGACCCCAGATGTCATCTTCTTGGGCCCTTTCTTAGGTGACTCAGTTGGAAGAGGGACGCCAGAGTCTTCATATACTTTTCGCTTTACAGTGGTCTTTATCTGAGCCCTGAAGATAAGAGAAAGCAGATTAGGGAGATTGTCACCAGAGAAGCTGAGGGAAGAGGGAAGGGGGGGGAATAATGGGCCACTCTGAAGGACTCCTAGTTCCTTCACAAATATCCAGATCAAGGCCCTAATCCATGTGAAATAAGGATTCCCCTACCCTTAGCAGCTTTGTACCCACTTAGGGCTGATGGGTTATGGAGACTGGAGCCCCTGAACAGAGCAACCAGAAAGGTCCTTTTCATGAACCTTAGGAGAGATGTCTGGATGTGTAAGGCCACCAGGTATGTATTGGTGATATAAAGGCAAACTGAGACTTTTTCACAGATGCTGGCAGCTAACTAGTTCAGAATGCATCCCCAGAAATGCTAGTCTCAAAGGATTTATATAGATAGCTATGGAACCCTCATCATCAAGCACACCCATTGAGTAACTGGGCACCTGAAAATAAAATTCTCTGAAGGTCCTAATTACCATCGCATTTCCTGAACTTCCGACCAACTGCCACAGTTATTATATTCTTTCAGCCTTCAAGGAAATGCTAACACAACTAGCAACAAAGTAGGAATGATGCTGAGCTGAGGGGATTCTGAGGAAGAACAATGGGTAAGGAGAAGAAAGTTGCCCACCCCTCCCCTTTCTCTGCCAGCCACCCTCCCTCACACTGTCCGTTCCTTGATGACACAGCTGATGTGATTAAGATCGTCCCCAAATCGCTTCACAGCAGCCCTCAGCATCTCTATCTCCGTCTCCGTCCACTTGGCACTGTCGGAAGGGGAGAAGGGTGATAGCAAAAATGGAAGGAGGAGTGTGTGGGGCCAGCCCACAGGCTATTCCGTCCACAGTCAAGCAGCCTCTTCCCTCTAGTCTCTAGGGCACCTTTCAAAGATTCGGAGAGAGGATCTCCTTAAGAAAGGCCCTGGGGACAAACCGCTAGCCACATGAAATTGCATCCAGAGCCACTTGAAAACATCTCTCTTCATCATGTAACAGCTGCTATAAACAACCCACGGAAACCAATGCAACAAGTAGGGGCCTTTCAAACAGAACCCTTCAAGGATGTGTAGCAGCAGTCTGAGTTGGGGTGGGTGGGAGACAGTATGTCGGTTTGCA